GGATTAAAATCTGATTTTAATCTAAGTTAAAGTCAACCAATCAATATAAACCACATTTTTCATAGGTCCCACAACTTTTCAACCACACATTTCAAAAATTTCTATCTCAATCTACTAAAAATCAAATTTTAATCTCCACCAAACACCCACTAAGTGTGAGCCTTTATCGTAGAAGGGGGGAAATAATAACCATTGAATGAAGATACACGCAGCCTTATCTTAACGGCCCAGGGCGTTGTTCTATCAGTTCTAGACTCAAGTACATTTAATATTTCTGACCATTAACCTCATATGGCCTAGACCTGCATGTAAGGAGTAGACTTGATAAGTTGACTTGGTAGAGTGGCTGCTAAAAGGTCATATCAATCAATCACAGAAATCTTGTATGGAAGGTCTTATAGGGAATGTGCCTCATACGTCGAGGCTATTCACCTTGAATTAGGGTTGTAGCGTCTCATGAGTTCAGCCTCTTCAGGGTTTGGCATCTTCATGAGGGTTCGACGCATTGGCCAGGTAGGCAAAGTGAATGGCATCTTTTTAAGTAGTTTGGATGGAAAGGTAACTGAGGGATTGACTTGTCATCGTGATTCTTTATCATGCTGAGCATAATTCTCTACAGCAGATGGGAGGCATTAGGAATATCTGCTTCTTCTCTTAGTCAAGCTCCATAGGCGAATTGTGCATGGCTTGAATCTATTCAAATGGATTGAAAACTTTCCCGTAGAAACTGTAGACATACAATTTAACGAATACATATTTATCGTTTTTGTTCTCATAAAGTATTTGATATTATCGAATATTGTTTGCTCAAATTATAACAAAAGATATGATAATTCGTGAGTTTGTCGAAATAAAATTCAACTATTCAGATTTCACATAATATATACATAATTTGAAAAACTGAACGGATCATCAGTTTTTGCACACACTCAAGAATGTGCAACAACTACTAGTCTCTCTTCGTTGATCCTATCCCATTTATTACAACACATTTGTACCTTATGGAAGAAAAGTTGCAAAAAGAACAAAATTCAGTTGTGTGCTTTAGGCTACCTTTTTCTTATGCAAAAATAGAAGGCTTACAAGCACTGATCTCTCCTTTAACATCAATGCATTTCCCTTCATGTTGGAAACTCTCAAACATATCCTCCAAAACAATAATTTCTTCTTTTATATCATCACTCTCGGCATAACCAGACGATATACGTTCCTTAAAGCTCCGAACCCTATCGAGACTTGTTTTAACTTTGGCCCCCATTTCATCCATTGCTGCGCGCATTACCTGTTGGAAAATGGAGAAAATTTAATGAAAAAATTGTTTTCACTCTTCGAACGAGAAAAAAATGAAAATTGTTCAAGACCTTGAACACTAGAGAACAAAATCATCTTAAAGACGTTTAATATATTGACTTGGATTGTTGTACTTGTTCATTTACAAGATTATGTACGTAGTTTCATAAAAAATAACTTTTAAACATAGCCAAACAGCAGTAAATATTCCTAGTGTAATACGAGAAACATTACCATATTTTCTTCTTGCATTCCCCTAAGCTTCCTCTTCACAGACCGATAACCCTCGAGGGATCTCAGCAATTTATCCGATAACTCCTTGCTACGCTCGTTGAGGTCTACGATCTGCTGTGCTTGATAATCTCCAACACATGATCTATTTGCATAACTTTGTACTTTTTCCAGCAATGTTCCATTTCTTGCTTTGAGTTCATTAACAAGTTCTTCCATTTCGTTCAATTCTTGAACCTTTCTATAAAGTTCTGCTGCCATAATCTCTTTCTCTTTTCCCAAACTAGAACACATAATTTCCAGGCTTTTTCGCGCTGCTAAGCTTGCGCTTAGTTGTTTTCTTAGCCTTTCTTTCTCGTCGGTTATTGCCTCGGGTGGTCTCTTGTCCTTTGGAATACAGTTTGGCCTGAGATCCGTGTTGCATCGGCGAAGTTCTGATTTTCTGTTACCAAAAGATTGACATTTTTGGATTCTGGTTCTAACATTATCAAGAATTGTCATCATTGTAGCCACTCTTAGCATTCTCCGGCTATCATTTTGCTCTTTACTACAGGCATCTTTATGATCTTGGATCAGTTTTAACAGTAATTTTAAGTGTGCTGCCACACCTGAAAAATAAAAAATTGAAGTAAAAGATGGGCTATAGATCAAAAACAAAATCAGAAAAATTTAAATCGTGTCGCATCTCTAATAGTTCTTCCTTAATAATATGAGCTTTCAGATAGAGTTGTCAAAATAGACTATTGAATCAAATAGGCACGAACTTATTGGGGCCTGGACCAGCCGCAGGTCCTGATAAGTCCTGTCAAACCGCAGTTTTTAAATTTTTATCTTTTCTGTTTTCTAATAGTTTTTAGTTGAAAAAGAAAAAGAAAAAATCCATGTGGGTCTAAAGGTGTCAACGAGTCGAACCGAGCCACGAGTCGAAATTTGAAGTTCGGGTTCGAGCAAAAATGGTTCGGGCTTTTTTTGGCCCGAGCCGAGCTAAAGCTTGGTCAAAAAAGAAAGCTTGGCCCGAGCTTTCGGCTCAGGCCTTAGCGGGTCGAGCAGGCCTGAACCGAGCCGGCTCTTTTTTTTCGTAATAAATCTAATTTTTTTTAAAGAATTTAAAATTTATGCAATTTATATAGGCGTTGATTAAAATATTAATTAAAATTATTTTTTTAAATAAAACTCGGCTCGATGGGCCGGAATGGTGGCTCGGGCTTTTTAGGGGCCGAGCCACATCCGTCCGAGCCAACGAGGTTTTTTGATATCCCTATGTGGGTCTATTTGAGCTGATTGTGGTCCAAGTTTCGAATAAGGTAATTTATCGATGGGAAGAACAAATTACCCTCTAATGCCGAATCATCGTAGGATTGTTTGACTGTAGACGAAGAAGGACCTAAGTCGGGAGATGAATTAACACGAACCCTATTCATGGTTTTGTAAAATATGCAGCTGCCAACAACAATTGGAGAGATCTCAAGAAACAAAAAGGAACAATAAGATATTTATATGAAGCCTACAAGTAATGCACAAGAAAAAGGTAATTTTTGAGTTAAATGCCTTCAAATTAATCTAATTTTTTTGAGAGAAACAGAGAAGAGAGATCGATTTTCAAACCCCTCTCTCACTCTCTCTCTTGTTACAGAATTCTTGATTTGTGCAATAATATATGTTTCGTTTCTTGTGGTCAGTTAATCGGTTGGTCCAAGGTAGTTAATTTTTCCGCAATAATTGGCAATGTTTGACTATTTCATTGGCCACTGCTAATGCCCATGAATAGCGGTTCTTACTTAGCCCCAGTTTGAATCTCATTTTGAGAGAATTAATGCATTCTTAAATGGTGACTTTTAAAAAATGTGCAGTTAAAAATTTTTAAAAAAAGTTTTTAATTTGCGTATAATATTATTTTATTAAAAAATGTGTGATTGAAAATAAATTTTCAGAAAAATGGCTCAAACAACCCTTCAAATGGCCTAATCAAACATAATTGTTGATTAAAGAGCCTTGCATATGACCGTCAATGGATTGAATTTTGATCCGAATTCGATAAATTAATGGAAGATGAATTCAGGGTTTCAGTTCGGTAAACTGATCAAGATCCGAATTCGATAATCCGTTAACTAAATGGATCAAATATAGACATAGATCAATCCAATCCAATAACAATCCGATCCGATTTGTTATAAATAAATGAGTCCGTAAAATATTTTTTATGGCATATTATTTGTGACTAAAATAAATAAATTTATAATAAAAAAGCCATTAAATTCAAAACATAAAAAATTTGAAAAATTTATAATTATTAAACTCGTTTAAGAATTGGAAAATTTGGGAAAATAAATAAATAAAAAAAAAATTGATTCCAACATTATTTTTTTCTTATTTTCTTTAATTTCGGATCGGATATCCAGTAAAATAGTAAAATGGATATGAATTTAACAATTAAATATCCGTTGGATTATCCGATCGAATAATTATTCTTATCGAATCAGATCGGATATAGGCAGATCTGATCCATATCTGATCCATTTGCAGCCCTAGCCTTGCAGCAAAAATATCTCTTGTATAGGTCATCTCCACTTAGAAAATTACAAGGATGATTATAAGGAAAATTGCATAAATCCAGGCCTTTTAAGACTACAATTCAAAAATCAGGGATAAAGTTTCCCAATTCAAAAATCAGGTATCAAAAATATTATAATACAAATTCCATCACAAACCCTAATTAATTTCTCATACCTTCTCTCTCTATCCCTCTTCCCATCTCGTTTCTCTCTCTCTATCCCTTATTTCCTCTCCTCTCACGAAAACACAACCACCATCACCGTCGATGTGAAAGCGCTACCACCGCTGTGAAGGCGTCACCACCACTATTGTGGTGCTCTGTTTCCCTCATGTAAAGACGCCGCAGCAGCCAAAAAGCCTAGATCATCCCTGAGGGTCTTTGGTCTGAGCCGCGAAGCTTAGTTCGTGCGACGCTCTAAGCGTCCCTGATCTTAGCCACGACACTCAGGTCGTCGCTACAGTGGCAAATCGGCAGCGATTTTATATCATTTTGTAATGGTTTGTGGCGATTAGTGGTGGCTTTGTAGTAGCTTTTGAGGTGATTTTGTGGTGGTGCTATCGATGTTTTATGGTAGTTTTGCTTTGCTGTGGGTGTGTGTTCAGTAGCGGAGTGGAGTTGTTGTGGTGATGGCGTCGCGACGGGTGGGGGTGGGGTGGCGGTGACTGGTTTGGGAGTTTTTTGTTGGGTGGTGGTTGAAGTGCGATGTGGTTTTTTTTTGCTGGGTGGTGTTGTGGGTGCAGTGGTGGCGACGGCGCAGATGTGGTGTGTGGTGGGTTCAAGTCTGGTTGGTGGTGGTGGTGATAGTGTATGGTTGGATGCGGCGGTGGTGGTGGTGGTGGTGGTGATGATGTTGGTGGCCGTGGTGGTGCTGGCGGCGATAGAATAAGGGTGGTCAAAAGTGACTGAAGTGGTAGTGCCAGTGGTATGTGACCAATTATTTAGTTATCTATGACCATATATTTAACTGTGACTTAAAAATTTGAAAATATGTGACTGAAAATAATATGTGACCAACAAATTTGAAAATAAGTGACCAATGAAATTAACTGTGACTTATAAATTTTTGAATTTGTGACCTCGAAATCATCAGTGACTAATTAATTTGATAATATGTAACCAATAAATAAATTGTGACCTATAATGATGTATATGTGATCATTAATTGTATAATTGTGACCTAATTAATAAGTATTTTTAATTAATAACATAATACCTGAGTTTTGAATTGTTAAACTATTTACCTGAATTTTGAATTGGTGTAAATCATACACCTGAATTATGAATTTTTCCCATTGTTATATTGACAATTTTTGCTTATTGTCATATTTAGCATTTGTTTGGTACTCATTATTTTTAAAATACATTTTTCTCTCTTATTTTCAACAACACATTCTTCAATAAATAATATTACACGGAAATTAAAAAAAAATTTATTTTTTAATCACACATTCTCCGTCAAATCACTATTTCAAAATGCATTTTGACCAGAAATAGGGCTCAGACATGCTCTAAATAGACAATCAACATACATTTTTATGAAATTTTCATTTTCAATATAGTATATTGTTAGAAAGAGTAAGTTATTGAAGTTCTTATATGTGAATTAATCATTTTGGAATTTACTTTCAATTGAAATTCTCGATTGTTAATTAGTCNAAAAAAAAAAAAAAAACTTATTTATCCATCATATTTATAAATAAACCAAAAAAACTAAAAAATGTAAAAGTTTGATAAAATATTTCTCTCTCATTTTAAAACAAGTTAACCAAAAATATTTGGATGGTGATTGTTATCAAGGACAAGATGTTATAATCAATAAAAGGCCAATAATAGGAATGCAAATAAAAGAGTGGCTATATTGAGTCTTGACATGACAATTGGGGACATGGCCGTACTTGTGTTTTGCAGGGCTTGAGGTGAACTTTAAAATTTGGACTCCTAAATTATAATAAGTAATCAATTTTTTTCATTTATAAGAGATTTACCGAACTAAACTTATTAACTTAAAATAAATAATAAAACAACCAATAAAATAAAATAGTCAAAATATTACAATCAAATAATAATGAAAAATTGTTATAAACGATCATTTAAATACAAATCGTCTTGTGGTTAAAATATTAATCAATTGAATAAGTCAAGTTGTTTAACAATTTCTTTTTCAATGGATAACATTACCAATCTATTCAATCTTTACTGTGACATAATTGTAACAAGATAACTTTTATTTTTCTCACGAATTTTTATATAATTGTATGGAACTTGATTTCCAGAAACTAGAAAAATTACTGCGGTAAGACATTACTGCATTTCACCATCATATGAATTTCTTTGCAAGGCCTTCGAAATACATGGAGTAATTGGTCAACATTTCCATAAAAATATAAATACAGCAGTTATAAACAAAATTTCATTTGATTTTTGTGATGTTACATGCCAGTTTGTCAATGCATATGTTTTACAACTTGATTTATGCAATGAATAGATAAAATATTGAAATATGAAATATGGTTACTGAAATTTAATTGGAATTAGACATTGTACCAATTTTTTGATGAAAAAAATTTATGTGAGAGAGACCGTGCTGAAGAAATGTTTTAATTCTCAATAATGAAGTGTTTTTTTTAGGTTTTCGGTCAAAGAGAATCAGAATTGAGAAGAATACAATATGCATGTGAGGCTTTGGGCTAAAAATTGAATTTAAAAAAGAAAAGTAAAAAAATAAAATTATTAGGCCTCTTGGGTTTTACCTCAGGTTCGACTCTAACTTAGGATTTAGGTTTCAACCATACTGCATAGACATAATGGTTGGCATAATTCTTGGTATAATGTCACATGATAATTTATCATTTTTCTGTTTAAAATACAATCAAATTTTAATCCAATCACATCTTACCAACCCCTAGTACGTCAATCATCATGTCACCTACTTTCTGACAAAGTAGCTTTATTCTTTATGTTATAAATAATGATGACATCTTGGATGATATATTAAGTTGTGGCAAAAAATGATTGGACGAAAATACTAACTATTTTTTTAAACAGGGCAATGAGATGTCAAAAAATTATGACAACCAAGTAGGGATGTCAAAAGGCTTGCCGGCTCGGGTGGCCCGTGGTTCGGCCAGGGAAAATCCAAGCCGAGCCGGCTCATGCTCGGGACCATCGAGTCGAGGCTCGGGTCAAGCCCCATTTTGGGGCATTGGATCGAGCCGAGTCAGGCAGTGGGCTCGTGTCACGGGCCATTTTGGCATTTCGAGCTGAACTTGCTAAAAAATTAAAAAATTTAAAAAAAAAAATAGATTTTAAATTCGCGCCTATATAATTTGTACAAAATTTAAATTCTTTAAAAAAAATTAGATTTATCATGAAAAAAAAAAAAGAGCCAGCTCGAGTCGAGCTTTTGTGTTTTGGCCGAACTTTTGCTTGATTAGGCTCGGGTAAAAAAAGCCCGAATCATTTTTACTCGAATCGAGCCCGAGTATCAAATTTCGGCTGGTTGACACCCCTACAGGCGAGCATGATTGTTATGTTTTTGTTGGAACTGAAATATTATAGACGATCATTTTATGCACAAATTTGACTTTTAATGTTCCATGACATCATATGATCATAATTATGATTTTTAACTAAGCCCTTGTATGGTTTAATTATAAATCAAATTTTTAATGAGATTTGATAAAATTTGTGAAATATATGATTGAAAAGTTTATAAAAGTCGTGGGTCCTATAAAATATGTGATTAAAATTAATTGTTAACTTTAATTTAAATTTTTATCCTAATATTTGTAATTGAGAAACATTGATTCTGTGTGATATGATAGTTCACATTATATAAATTAAGGGCATGTTTGGTACAAATTCTCATTTTCTACAGTAAATCAATTCTCATTTTCAACCACACATTCTTCAATAAAATAATATTTTCCATCACATCAATACTTTTTACTTCTTTTTCAACCACACATATCCATCACATCATTACTTTTTTCTTCTTTTTCAACCACACATTTCTCATCATATCACTATTCAAAAATCAATTCTTCCTCCAAAAATCCCTACCAAACACACTCTAAATTAATCAATACACAAGATATATTCATAATCAATGAAATCATCGAATGAGTTACATAGTTCTCTTATCTCATTCTTAAGAGGGCGAACCTACTTTTCTCGTTCATTTTGGTTCGTTTCATTAGGTGTAAACATCCTTAATCGCTACAAAAAAATAAGGCATTAACAAAATATTCAAGAACTAAATACTGTATTTAGCAAAAGTCTTGTACCTATCATTGAACACCAAAATTAGACATTTGACCCCTTAAACACTAAAACAACCTTATAAGATAGAAACAAATCTATTTCCCAGATGCAGTGACCATAATTTTGTAAATGCCCATCAATCCAACAATGTCACTCGAATTTGATCTCCTGCTCACAGTGAATAGAAATTCTAGTTGACAGAAATTATAATGTCCACCTTGGATGTGACAAAACCCATGGACGTGACGGTGTTGTCACGTCCATTGTGGACATTATAATTCATGCCCACTATGAGCAGGATATCAATTTTATGCGACTAATAACTACTCTATTTTTTCGTACTGTATTGAGGTTGTAATGGTATAAATTGTCGACGTAACAATATTTTTTCAACCACTAGTTAGTTAAAGGTCGTAAATTTGAACTTGATCAACTTATTATTTTCTTAATTTTCAACATCCTAATCCGACTTATAAGTCACATAAATTGTATCTACGAACAAAATCATAACTCTAACCGTGAAATTAAAAAAAAAAAAAATCAAACAGTAAAATTTTAGCAGTTACCCTTTGTTTCCATTTAGAACTCCATTTAGTACCAAAACCGTGTTCGTGGACCGAACTTACCATAAACTTGCTTATATTTTTTTTTATTTACGCCTATAATCCTTCGATAGAACTTTCCATACATGAGTCGGAGTCCTAAAATATTTCCAATTCCGATCAGCAAACTCGATAGTTCTCTACATATAAAAGGATGTCACATCTCCTCCCTTCACCATTCTAAGTTTGATGATAATACAAATTTGCTGCTTAATTTGAATGGTTTATATTGTCTCTCGAGTTCAGCGTTACGCAATGCATTCATCTAGAGTTTGGAGGTATCAGTATGATAGGTTAAATCAAGGCTTCTCCGTCCCACTTGTGGCTTATTTTCACCGTACTCGTATAATGCAAGAAAACGTCTCCGACTTTCAGTCTTTTGCTGCTGAATCATGGCATCGCGTGTCTGTTCAACCACAACCACGGGCAGATGAGACACTTATATGGGAAGCGTCAGATCATGTCGCTCACTTGAGGTCGAATTTTTCTCACGATCATGGTATCCAAAATGGCTTCTCCCAAGACACTCTTCTAAAACTCTTGAACACGAGAAGTTTTGTTAACAAGAAAGAGGGAAAAGAAGGTGCAGAAGGGCCTGAAATTTGTGTGGTTTGCCAAGACGAATACGAAGAAAATGAGAGAATTGGAAAACTTCATTGTGGACACGAATACCATGTTGATTGTATATCAAAGTGGCTGTTGCAAAAGAAAGTTTGCCCCATCTGCAAAGCTGAAGCATTATCGAATGGAAGGAACAGTCGATGAAATAAAAATTAACCGGGAAATCTACAGACTACAGATTATGTTCAAAATATTGTTACCTATTTGCTATTGTTTCTTGAAGAGTAATTTGGTATCTGTATTCCGTTTCTTATTTTTAGTTGAAATTGTATAAAATAAATACATGTAGTAATTTTGTTCCACTTCAAAGTTAATAGATTGGCCGTTTAGCTTGGAAATTTTTCATGTATTTGGCACTTGTTCTGTTCTGTTTCAGTAAGTGAACATATTAGAGAAGAAAGGCTTTTCTCTCATTCATTGAAAAATTACTCGAATGAATACATTGGTTCTTATATAAAATACAAAGTAAAATGAATCAACTAACCAACTGATAAACACATCTTTAAAGTAACTAACTAACTTCTAACTAACTAGATTCCATAAAATGGACGCCGAAGTAAGATTGCTGGGAGCAAAGTTGGAACTTTATACTGAGAATTCTGCTGCTTATAAGTTGGCTCAGTTGCTGGCTAAGCTTGAACTCTAATACTCTCGCTCAAGATGGACTATGTAGATTAAGTATAGCCATCTTGGACAAGAGAGTAAAAATGAGAGATGACTGCAACAGTATGGTAAATATATCAGCTAACTGATGTTGAGTTCAAACCGATAATAATTTGATAAATCCATCATTAACCTTGTCTCGAACAAAATGGCAATCGATTTCGATATGTTTTGTTCTTGCATGGAAGATTGGATTATTTTCAATGTGAATGGCTGCTTCATTGTCACAAAAAAATCAAAGCTGGAAGGGAAATGGTGACTTGCAAATAATAAGAAGCTGATGAATCCATACAATCTCACATGTTGATGAAGCTAAAGCACGGTACTCTGCCTCTGCTGAAGATCTGGAGACTGAAGTTTGCTTTTTAGACTTCCAACAAATTAAAGAGTTCCCAAGAAAAACACAGAAAATAGTGATAGATTTTATTGAATCAGGAATGACCCCCAGTCAGTATTTGCAAATGCACGAATTTGAAAAGAAGAAGAAGCATCAAATAATAAGCCTTGTCTTGGAGCTACCTTTATGTATCTTAAGAGATTATGTACATCATCTAAATGAGGCTGGCGAGGCTACAATACAAATTGACTTAATTCGTGGAACAGTTAAGTATAATAGTCGACCAACAAGTCGACGATATAAGGATGCATCATCAAGTAAATCCCCTTCAAAGGAGCTGAGCTTCACTTTAGGATCCACTGGCAATAACGCTGGTTACAAGCCAAAAAACCAGTATCCTCAGGTAATTGCAAATTGTAGTGCCTCTGAGAAAGAAAGATACCCTTTCGTGATCTTGGAATCTCAAATTCAAGGAAATACTTCAGCTTACCAAGATCCTTCAATTTAAACTGACTATGCAGAAAATTCTTCAATGATTCAATCATCTTAGTATCTCATCTAGTGATGATTATTTCATCAACATAAACCAACAAACAATGAAGGAAGCACCAAACCCTTTCGTGAACAAGGAATAATCTAATTTAGATTGTTGGAAGCCATGTAATAAAAGTGCTTGAGAAAACTTGGAAAACCATTGTCTAGAGGCTTATTTTAGGCCATAAATTGATTTATGCAATCTACACACCAATTTCTCGCCATGAGGTCCTATAGCATAATGTTTAGGGTGACCTAAATGCAAATCCATGTAAATCTACTCAAATAGATCACCGTTAAGAAATGCATTATTGACATCCAATAGCACAAGATGCCATTTATTAACTGCTACAACAGCAAGAAGTGTTTTGACAGTAACCAACTTCGTTACTGGAGAAAAGGTTTCATTAAAATCAAATCCCTCCCGTTGAGTGTAACCTTTTGCCACTAACTAGGCTTTATACTGGTCTATACTGCCATTTGACTTGAACTTAATCTTTTACACCCACCAGCATTATATGGAATGCTTGTCTTTTGGCAGAAGAGCAATAGACCTGGTATGATTTGCTTCTATGGCTGCCAACTCATCAGCCATAACCCTTTTCTAGTGTTCATATTTATCTGCTTGGTGATAGAATTGGGGTTCAAAGGTAAAAAATATATTGAGGAGAAGGAAATTGTGAAAAGAGGAAAAGGCTTTGTAGGATAAGAATTTACTTAAAGGATATAAAGAATCAGAGAAGAGTTGTTAGTTAGAAGATTGCAGTGATAGTTATGAAGATAAGATAGAGTTTTTCTTATTCTGTTACCTTTTATATGAATGGATGCAGGAGATTAATCTGGGTTTAAGGTGGGAAGAACTTCATGATCTGAAGTGTGAATGATACTAGATTCAATTATAAGAGGAGATTGATTTGAGTGTAATGTGGGGTGAACACTGTTGTCTGGAGTAGTGGCATGAGGTACATCATTACAATTATCACAAAATGAGAAATTTGTATAAGGATGATTTAAAGACAAGTTCTGAATAGGATTTGGCATGCAACGTCAGGGAAGGGATCAATATCATCAGTGGGTGATAAGATTTTTTATTGGAATAGAAAGATGTGTTCATTAAAGACCACATCTCTGGAAATGAAAATTGATTTATTAACTATGTCATATACTTTGTATCCTTTAATAGCAGGAGGATAGCCAGTAAACACGTAAGCGTTAACTCTTAGATGAAACTTAGTTCTGTTGGAAGATAGAGTGGAAGCAAAACAAAGGCTGCCAAATGTTTTTAGATGACTATAGTCTACTGGAGTGTTATCTAGACAGACATATGGTGTTTTATTTTGAAGAATTGGTGATGGAGTCCTCTTTATGAGAAAGGTAGTTGTCAGAATACATCCTCCCCAGAATGAAATAGGAACTCTAGATTGGAAATATAATGCTCGAGCAACATTTAGGAGATGTTGGTGCTTCCTCTCAACAACAGAATTCTGTTATGGCCTTTCTACGCATGAATGTTGGTGTATCACTCCTTTAGTATTAAAGAACTCTGTAAATTTCAATTCCTTAGCATTATCGGATCTAAAGCATTTTATCACTTTGTTGAATTGTGTTTCTATGAAGGAGAAAAATCTGGAAATAATAAAGACGGCATCTGATTTTTGCTTCATCAAATATACCCATGTGAATCTGGTGCAGTCATCAACCAATGTCAAGAAATTTTTGTAACCAGCATGTGAAGTCATATTGTAAGGTCCCCAAACATCACATTGAATTAGATTAGAGGCAGTTGTGGATAGGTGATTGTTACAGACAAATGAGAGCGTTCTCTGTTTTGCCAACAGACATACATGACAAGGAATAAAAGGTTATTTCCTTCTTTCATCAAATTTCAACTAGTCTTTTAACACATCAGATTTCAACTAGTCTTTTAACAAACCTAGTTTCTTAAACGACAAATGTCCAAGTTTGTGATGCCAAACATCACTGGTCACATTATTTGCCAATGAATTACAATTTATAACATGACCTAATCCATGTGAAACATGTAAAGAATGAACTGAATTATAAGACTCCTTTGAACTAACAACATTATTTTGAATTGAATTAAAAGAGTTTGCATCAATTATATAAAGATCTCTAGCCCTTTTACCATTGTCATCTTCAAAGTTGGTAGGACCTGAATAACACACGTGTCTGTAAAAAAAAAAGGATAATTAATGAAGACCTTCTTGTCAAAGAGCTTATTGATAACATGTTAAATATAACCTGTGGCACAAACAGTACACCCTCAAGAATGAATTCAGGTAATATCTTTACATTTCCAATAAATTGAATAGGAATCTTACCATGATTAGGCAAAGTAACAAATGAATTATGAACTTCTCTTAATGTGTCAAAAGCATAGTTATTTGAACAGATATGGCTTGTGGCTCCAGAATCAATCACCCAAACTGTTGGTAAATTGATTATTGAATCAAAGGAAATGGAAAGACATGTACCTGCTATATGATCAAAGGTACCTTTCCGTTGTGTTTCAACCTTGGCAGCAGTGAGATGATTGTTCAACATACTCATCAATTTTTGATATTGAGTTGGATTCAAAGTTTGCATAAAGTTCCCAACCTCACATTTTGTTTGATTTGTAGTATGAACTGGTTCAGTTACTAAACCAACTATAGCGCAATTAGCTTGATCAACTTGACTGCTTGAGCTTGCCTGATTATTCATTCCTCCAATTCTCTGCTTAGGCTTATATCTAGGGGGAAAACCGTGCAACTTATAACATTTTGCAATGTCATTACCTGTGTACCCATAGTATCTACACACATGTCTTTCTTTCTTCTAAAATCTACTATTTGATTGTCCTACATTTGACTTTCTAGCTTCATTCCTAACATAGAAAGCCATTGAGTCATTGACGCTAGAAGCTTCAGCATTTACATTAACCTTTCTCTGGTTCTCCTCTTGCACAACAAGAGCAAATATTTTGTTAATTGAGGGAATTGGATCCATTAATAACAGCTGACCTCTTATTTGTGCAAATAATTTATATAGCCCCATCAGGAAAGACATAACATATTCTGTTTGATAGTGTTCTGCAAGGCTCTTATTCCTCTACATACACATTTGCCACATGAACATAATGGCCTGTAACTACTGAGTTCTTTCCAAATGGTTTTCAACTTTGTAAAATAAGTACTAACGGATGATTCACCCTGTGTTAAATTCATCAACTCATGCCTCAATTGGAATATACATGGATCATTCTTCTGCCGGTATCTCTCCTTAAGATCAGTCCAAATATGATGAACTGATTCTGAATATATTACACTCACCGATATCTCCTTTGAGACCTGATTGAGAATCCATGAAATCACCATGTTGTTGTTACGTATCCAAGCATTAAGCACATCACTATTGTTTTCTAGAGGCACAATAGATCCATCAATGAATCCTAATTTGTTCTTAATGGTTAATGCAATAACCATAGAATGACTCCAAGAAGAATAATTGTCTCATGTTAGGGGTTGTGATACAAGTACCAATCCATGATTGTCTGAATGGTGGAGAAACAAAGGATTTGATCCATCATCAGCTACGGAATTGTTGACTG